AGGGTGCAAAACACTGACATGGGGAGCAGTTTTGATCACTATTCTTTACATTTTAGTGCTTTCTGGCAGCATCACATTACAGCACACATGCATTCAGAGGCTGGAGCACACTTCAGTTTGTCAGTAGGCCCTGAGGCACAGCACCAGCCCAGCTCAAGTACCCGTCTTGGTGGCAGTGGAACAAATGCATTTTGACTAATTCCACTGAATTCCATTGTTTCCTCCTATGAGAAAAAGTACTCATTATTTAGGATTATAATACCATCTAGATGTGTAATTCCTGATTTCAGCTCTGCAGTACCAGGCACTACTCAGAGAGAGAAATGCCTCCATCTCCCAAGAGCTCATAAAACACAGAACAAATCCTGCTTTGCTTGTTCTACAAGACTTGTACTATGCTTTACTTGTACTATTAAGTGCTTGGTACTTTACATTACTGTGCACAGGTGAGAGCCATTCCATAAGACTGGATGACTTCTCTGCTATTTAAAATGTTTCCATAAATCTTGGGGTGCTCTGTAAAAGTTGGTTTTTTCCAGTCAGCATTTCACACTGATGATCAGTGGCTGCAAATCTGTTTAAAAAGACTGAAACTGTCAGAACAGTGGGACAGACAAATTTCTTCAGGTCTGTCAGGAGACTGGTGATATTAGGGAAAATTTGTAGGAAAAAAGGAGCAACATCTCTTTGAGATTTAGACTAAACAAGGTATTTTGGCTTTTAATGCTTTATTCTGTTGCCATAACATAGTATTCAAATACGGAGTTTCATTATTAGGAAAAAAAAATTAAAAAGCACTTTACATTCCTCAGAGTTTTACTGAGAGTTTGACTTCACTAAAATTCATGGAGCTGGGCCACAGGAGCATATTTTCTCTTACATGGGAAGTTGGCCAGCAATTAGAGGTAATAAAATAACTACTTCAAGTGTGCAAGCACTAAAAAATATTTCTAGACCTGTGGTTTATTAAATTGCATCAGAATATTGTCTGCAGTGAAGAACCTCATTCTTTGGTTGAGGTGTATCACTGCAACACATCATCAGAATTTTGTTACAGCATGTTCACATGTTTTCTGGGAGAAAAGAAGGGGAATATTGTATTTCATGGGAGAATTTTCCCTCCTTCCCACCTGCAACTGCGTTACTGACAGAACAAAAATAAATCAGAACAATGTGTTCATGAGCAATGGATGATGGAAAAACTCACCAGAGCAGGAATCTGGACTGAGATCACCAATGTAAAGTTCAGTGGAGCATGGATGGCAGCCTAGTACTTGCTGCTTCCCAAAGAATGAAGAACTCTTGGTTTCTTTTGACCTTTTCATCTCCTGCTCTATTTGTAGCAACTCAAGCTTTATCTAACATCCAATAACATTTTTGATGAACTAAACTTACTGTCTTTGTTTGGGTTTTGTTCTATTTTTAATTTCCACCAACCTCTTGGTAGAAATTGTGCACTGTTAAGTGGGGCTCACATGAAACAGAAGGCACGATTTCCATCAACTTCCATGTAGCCAGATTTTTACCAAGCTGGTATAGCTTCCTGTGGTAGCTTAACATGAGCACTGAAATTTTACCCTTATCCCTCAAAAATGCAGGTTCCCTTTCCATTAATATAATTCAGTTTAATGGATGTGGTATCAAGATCTAAAGAATCCTACCAACAAAAGCCTAGAGACTTTCCAGTGTGAACCCATTCCCCACGTAGAGGGAATGGGCATTAAATGGAAACAACAAATAATAATTTACCTTCAGTAAATTCAAGAATTTTGGATCATGCACTGTGATTTTTGGTTTTTTTTTTTTTTTTTTTTTTGGCAAAAATACCTGTGTGGAGATGGAATGGAGAAAGGGAAAGCAACAGATTGCTAATGCCCTTGCTAACAATGTAGGATTACTCATGACCCCAACAGCATTGCCAGATCATAACAACCTCAGAGCAGTTTCTGTAAGGTGTAGGTTGAAGAACTTTTTCTTTCTCTTCGAGGGGCTTAGTGCAAAAGGAAGAATATGGCTCAAGGAAGCAGATGGAAAAACATTTCTGACAGCTTAAGTACAGTTAATTATTTGTAGGCGAAGCATTCTGCTATCAGCACTGATTTGCTGTACTTGAAACTGAAACAGTCAGAGCAGCAACAATTTTATTCAGCATCACTGCAATTACCTGACTATAAATAGGAGACCTTGCCTTTCATCCCTTCCAGGAACAGGCAGCTAAAGGCCAGCACACTGTGTAGATGCCTCTTTGGTAAGCAGCTCATCCAAGTCTCATCCTCTCCCATTTTTTTCCACCTCTTACCTTTTTCTTTTAAGCAGATTCAACAGTTACTGGAAAAAGAAAAAAAAAAAAAAAGAGTACAACATGTATGGGAAGAGTTCACAAGGTAAGTATCACCTCTTTCACTTCACAGATAGTGGAGCTGAGGAAAATGAATACTCATTTAAGAGCATGTTCATTTCACATCTGCTCCTGAAGGAGCAAAGGGTGATGATGTGTTTTCTTGGGTCTTCTGGGATTTATCATCAAATAAATCCCAGAAGATTCTTCTCTCTGTGAGAGACGAGAACTCTGCTCCTAAATAATAACATTCAGCCTTCTGGGAAAAGAGACAGGAAGAAAGTAGGCTTGCAGAGGAAATCTCTAGCCTCCACTAACCAACAAGGAGGAACTGGAGACAAAAAGCATAACACAGATTATTTCTCCCTCAAAAGTGTGACATGGGGAAGACACTTCCTTGTGACCAAAGATCTCAGTATTCTTTTCTATTCTTCCCTGGCTTTGGTAAAGGCAGAATCACAGAATCTCCTGAGCTGGAAGGGACCCACAAGGATCATCAAGTCCAACTCCTGGCTCTGCAGACTGAATTCAATGAAAGGGAACATAATCAGTTTTTCCATCAGCTTTAAGATTTATATAAAAGAGAAACAAAATGCTATTGAGAGCTGTGTGATTACTTTTTTGAATAAGTATTATTGGAAAGAACGGAGACTGTTAGCTTTCATTGTCCACTCACAGCAAGGACTAATTAGAGTAAGACACTCTCCAGAATACTCTGAACAGCTGTGATTATTCACTCTTAAGAAAGATTAATTTGACTCGAAAGACAACAGAGAAACCTTTTAAAGAAGACATGGAGAATAGAGTTTTCTATGGGAGGACAGGAGACAGCTCACTTTTAACAGAATGGAGGGTGAAAAGGACTTCTTTCTCTATATATTGAAATCTTAAGCAGCATGAGAGAAAGTGTACTTAGGCTAATGTTGGCTCAAAAGCAAGTGGAATAAATTATCTAAGAATAAATTTATTCTGGAAACGCAAAAAAAATATATATATAATTTCAAGTACCAGAGCAGTGAAATCCTGGAAACACACACTCAAAGCAGTAGTAGGACCAAATGAAGTGTTCTGCTTTCCAGTGGAGCTTGGTAAGTGTATTGATGAAGTTGCCTGCAATAGAGAACCTCTTTCAAATGACCAAGCATATCCTGGACTGCATATATAACTGCAGTCCTTGAAGTCCCCTGAGGTTACATTCAGAAGACCCACATAAACAACTGCTTTTTGTGCAAAGTCAAGAATTACAGCTCAAGGCCAGCTACAAAAACTTACAGAGCTTCTACTCAGCCCTGCAGGCAAATAATTGACCTCCTACCAGTCCAGCTCATCCCTGAACCTCAGGATCTGAAAACTGTGTGTTTTCAGGCAAGAAGCCATCATACTTTCACCCATCCAACCTCACAAAATTCCAAGCCTTTCAATGAAACTGACTTGAAAGCATGTATTTGGAATATAGGGAACCTGAAGTAATTTCTTTTCATCTCCTATGAAATCCTAGGAGATGCATGGAACGATTCAGTCACCTGCTCAGAGCTCAGAGATGAAAGTTTTATGAGGTAGCAAGACATCTACAAGTTATTCACTGTGACTTGTTCCTGTGAATCTGGTTCCTATACTGCTGTAGAACTAGATGATTTAGTCAGGATGCAGAGATGAAATTCAGTTCCAGACAGCCATCAGTTTTTCATGGGTTGTGCATTAATTATTCCTCTGCAGCAGAGCTCCATCAGTTGGCTCTGTAATGGTGCAGTGAAGTTCCTTAGCACAGGCTCACTCCAAGAGAACATATCTGTATTGCCAGCAGGGTCAGTGTGATTTCAAGAGCAGTTCAGCCACCTCTGTGGTGGGTGCAATCCAAACCTGTGAACCATCAGAGTCCAAATCAGCTTCCCAACATCTGATTTGGCACCCTTATGCTTCTAGAACTGGGTATACTACATTGTATGAAGATAAAATGCACCCAATAAAAACAAACTACTGTAAATTAAAGAATGTCAGCCCTTGGGAGAACTTCATATAAATATTGTTAGAATGATCCCAGTATAATGCTTGCACAGGCCAGCTAGCCCCATTCCAAGCAATGCCCAGGCAGGATCTGGGAGCTGGCATGGCCCAGGAGCAGAGTTATCATGCAGCCACTGTGCTTTGCTGGTTAACAGGATTTAATTTTGCTACTGCACAGACCAAACCAGAGTGAGTCCTGGCACTGCAGGCACACAGTAACTCCAGCTCCACAGGGAACATGCCAGACATGGGATGACTCAGCAGCCATGGTGAGACTGCATCTCTCCAGCTGAACTGCTGTGCCCAGCCTAAAAACACCTCAGAGCTGGGTACAGGATCAGTCTGCTGGCCCTCAATGGCCAGACCAAAGGTGGTGATCAGTGAGCTCCTGCTAACAGGACCAGCTGTGAACAAGCCAGGGGACAGACGGGCCTCTCCACACTGTTCTCTGCCAATCTCTGGTAGAAACCCACCTTATGCAAGAGCTAAGCAGTGTCTGTGAAGGCTCTGGTGTTAGTCTCGAGTTTACAGCCTTGCTACTACCCACAGCACCAGTGACTTTGAGGGAATGAGTCTGGGTTCACCTGGATCAGCATTGAAATATATTTAGCAGCAGTTCTGGAGACTTGATGCCTTTGACCTGTCAAACAGATGGACCTAAAATGTAAATAGATTGTATTTATGTAGATATGTATTTGTGTATACATACATATGTATAAAGATATGCAGCCCATATAAAGGAATTCAAATGAGAATTCTATGACAAAATTTTAAAAGCTTTAAATTATAAAAAACTGAACATCTTTCAATAGGAACCTCATACAAGACAAAGACATTTTGTGTATTTGTTCCAGCTTAAATTTTACAGCAGAAGTAAAACTGCAAAACAGAAATACAGACCACAATTAGCTGGTCCAGTATTTGCCATCCAGCATTGTGATGAATATAATAGCTATGTTACAATCCTCTTTAAATAGATGCAGCTTTTACCTGGTTTGGGTTTTTTTTTCCAGTCAGAGGAACACTATTCTGGTAAGTGCTTGGCCTGATTAGGTTAAACCCAATGTATTGGTTAATTGGTTTACCCAATTAACATCTCACTGAATGGTGTTGGTGCATCACAAATGAAGTACAGAAATATACTGGATGTTCACCTGCAGGAATAGCATATAGTTAGAATACAGAACACTGAAACTGCAAATTCTTTTGGTATTGTTGTTTTGGTGGGGAAAAAAAACAACCAACAAACCAAAACCACTGAAGCAGTTCCATGAGACTTGACATCCCTGTTTGACCAGTGTCATGAGAATAGCCCCGCAGTTCAGTCACATATCCATCCAAAGTCCACTCACTGCTTGTTTTCAGAATGTTGTACAGCTCTTCTTTCTGTATAAGATCATCTTGTCCTGTGCTTCCTCAGTCCAGAACAGTCCTTAAGAAAAGGAATGTTGCTTCCTGGAAGACAGCAGGAACTACAGGCATTAAAGTTTTAATGAATCCACTAAACCAAGCAGCATTATCCCTGGAAAGGTGAATAGTTGTATAATTTGGCCCACATTGTTGCAATTTTTTTTGTTTGCTTGGGTTTTGAAAATCATTTGCTGCAATGCATTGAGAAACAGGAGACAGAATTAACTCAGCCATTCTCCCATGGTATTCTGCTTGATCTCTCTCTCATGTACCGTATTTACTGCTTGGGTTCAAAGTTTTCCTCTTTGCTGTTTTTAATCATGCATCCCTTGGTTCACTCGTCCTTGCACCTCCAGCCTTTGTTGTTTTCAGTCCTTAGTGATGATCTTTCAGTTAAGAGCTCACCAGAGTGTAGATCATGCTGAATGTAAAAGAAAGACACAATATGAAAGTATCCCTTTGAAGCATGCAGAGCACTTTGATTTTTATAACCCTTTGCTGTCTGTTCCTCAGGTCTGGCTGTAATGGCCTGTGCTTTCCTTTGCATTCCTTCTATCTCTCTGAAGCATCTTAATTATGGTGCATTCAAGATGGGTATCAAAAGGCACTCAAGAAATAACAAATTCATTATCCACATCCTACTGCACCACAAGCTGAGTTTGAGCTTTTTAAAGCTCAGTCTGATGTCTGGATTTGAACAGCAAAGAAACAAAACCATTTTGCTTTAGCATGTTTGATCTTTCAAACTTCAACCAGCAACTCTCGGCAGGGCAGGCAAGGTTTTCTATGAAATTGCATTGTTTTGTTTCCTTTGGAAAAAAACCTCTGTGCACTAGAAGGAACATAAAATGCAGCCACCAGCTGGACTGAATCCATACATATTAAATGCAACTCGGAAAAGCAGAGAAAACAGTATATATTGCCACAGCTCCATTTTGCTGCAATTCTAATTCTGCCAATACCCAGGAAAGCATTGGAAAAATGTCTGTAATTTATACTATTTTATCTAGCACCAGGCAGTGGATTTTGGAAGGTGGCCATGTTTTAGATTGAAGGGCTCAGAGGAAGCTGCACAGCAGTAAAGTCTCAGGAGAAATGCTACACCACACTGCTGAGCTGACTTTGATCCCAACACAAAAACGTGGAGTTAAAAAATGCTTTTTTCCCACAAATCTCAACAGCATTTAAAAGGAATATTGAGAAACAACAACGTGCAGCAGTGACCCCTCAAGATGTGGTGAACAGCAGAACAGGTCAGACACCAATAATCAGAGGAGAAAAACACACTTTTCTTCCACCAGCACACCTCTTCCTTGCAGAGGGATGACACGCAAGACTGGCTTGAAGAGGCAACTCTATGCAAATACATCATGGAGGAAGGAGTAGAAGAAAGACAGCTAAAGCATCGCCTCCATTTAAAGTGTGCTAGAGTTTGTTGTCCAGTGGTTTTTATGGTGTGATTAAAAGCACTGGGATCCTGGCAAGGCCTTACCTTAAATGATCCTGAGATATTTTTGCACTGGGTATTTGTGCCTGTGCGCTGAGGACATGTGACAGCTGAAAGGGGCAGGGGGACAATGCCCAATTGGTGGGCATATCTCCATGAATATACCTTATTTAGGGGTTTGGATCATGCTCAGGCTTTGCCCTGTCATGAAAGGGAGCCTGTAGGAATGACCAGGGGCACGGTGCATCCCATGCTCCCACCCAAAATCTACCTACCCATTTATTTACCATCTTGAGTATTACTATACCAAAGGTATAGTATTTTCCTTATGATCCTCTTGAATCATAAGGTATTACAGTTTTTTTTTGGTGTCATGCCATTAGCACAATATTCACTATTTTACCATCCCAAAAGATCATGCAGAGAAGCAAAATTTATTTCCTTTGGTTGGTGTTGCGTCCTGGCTCAGGCCTTAGGTCAACACTAAATATTCTGTACTGAAGTGCCAGCAGTCAGCAGGAGTGCTTCCCTGAATCAACAGCAGAAGCAACCTTTTATGAGACTAAGGAAATTGTCCAATTGATTCCAGTCATTCCTGAATGCAATTCCACAAATGACATGAAAAGCAGCTTAGTGAAATGGCCAGACTTACCAGTAGAGATAATAGAAGAAGGAGAGGAGGTAGAAGGCCAGCTTACACCAGGCCTCTTTCTGGCAGTAACTCAAGGTGTCTGCGTTCATGACTGCAGGTGGATCATAGGCCAGCTCTGAGCTGTCTGCTGGGCAACGAAAATACCTGAAAGAGCAGGAGAAGACACCTGGAATGACTCTCTAGTAATCTGTATCAAGTATGTGCAGATACACACCTGACTGCCATCTTCCATGATAAAGCAGGAATTCTCCTTTCTTTTCCAAGTCTCTACTTCCAGACGCCATAAAAATCAGGATGCTGGATCATCTCCTTTCTTACAGAACCAAGCAATTAATGAATGTGGATTTACTGTGGTCTATTAATTCTTCAGATCAAAACATTTCCCCTTCCTACAGAGTTATTTATGGCTTATCCACTCATAACTCACACATTGTGAGTGACAATATATGGTGGTTTGTGATCACAAAGAAGGATAACAGGGCTTTTATTGCACCTACACAACTGATTTCAGACATGATGAAAGGTGACAGTCCCAACCAACTGGTAGCTAAGTTCCTCCAACTCTGAAAAGGAAAAAAGCCAATATGGAGTAATGTAAGAAGTGGCTGACCAATATTTTCTACATGTGGCACTGCTCAAAAATTTATCATCCAAATAATTTTCTTCAAAAAATATTTTTCTTCTTACGCAGGACAAATTTCTAATTATTCTCAGCAATGACTGAGTGAGAAAATCATGACAGAAGAACTTTTTTGGCAAAGGAGCTTTTGTCTCAGGTAGTTTGCAGTAAAAAGCAAAAGCAAAACAAACAAAAAAAAAGAAGTCCTCAACAAAGTTAAGGAACTGCTCCAAGATCAGCACAAATCAGAGGAAATATTGTTATTTCTGCTGCTTTGACAAAGTAAGCAGAAGATTGCTGATTGCTTACAGATGGATAGACAGAGAGGAAGATATAAAAACACCGAGCAAGCGACCAGCAGCAAACTTTCAAAGGAGATGTTCTCAAAATAACTTTGCCTTTCTCCCTTCCAGTGTTAGTCACATCCACTTACAACCTCTAATAAGATTGCAAGTTCTTTTATGGAAAACCACAGGTGGGATCTTGCTTAATTCTCTTCATTTGGATGAAGACATTACACAGTGTCTTCCCATGGTTCTGTGCAGAACTTTACACAATGAACCCAAACCTGCCTGTGGTTAAAGCAGAAGTAATTATGGAGTATCTATAGCAAAGCATATGAAGAATCATAGGAAAAAAAAAAAAGAGAATTAAACATTTTCTCCAAAGGTTGATATCATTACTTAGAATCAGATCATTTTCCCCTTGGAAAGAAAAAAATTGCTTTTAGAAATTTTTCTAATGGGTCTCATTGTCACACTAAGGGTTGTTAACCCTTAGGAAAAGAGCAGCATAAAACATTATCATTTTTATTGCAGCACAACAATAGAGAGAAAAGCATTTCTTTTTAAATAAAGCTCATTTAATTTAGCTTTCTCAGAACTATACTGGCACTCTAATTTCTGAATAATACACTTTATCATGTGACTCTGCATTACCACTGAGCTTTTGCAGAAAAAAAATGTAAAAAGTTCCTGGTTGAGATGATGATTTTGACTTCTTTACAGAATTATTCTTCTGCTACCATATGTACCTTTGTAACACAAAGAGACCCTGACAGACAAAAATCATCTGTGCTTTTACAAACACTGTGAAAATGAGAAACTAAGGAAGTCTCCAGACTGACAACCACAAAAACTGATGTCTCTTGGTTATTTTCAGAAGCAACAGAAGGCTGATCCTCCACTAGAATGCAGAGGGAGATGCAGCAGCAGCAGCTGCACTGCCTGACTGGAAAACAACAGCAGTCTTGTGTGATCAGGTCTGGAAGCCCCTTGGTCAATATAAACACAATTCAGAGGTCCAGAGTGGGAACACTCCCCACTTCTCCATATGGGCAGTGTGAAGAAACAGCTCTTCATCTGCTCCAATCCCTACTCCACGAGTCTCTAAAAGAGGATTCCCTTGCAGAACAGAAATTCCCTACTGTACAGAAAGAAAAAACTTACTTTACACTGAAAAAAAAAAAATCCAAAAGCTGCCAAAGAAGATGAGACACAAAAATCTGTCAGCTTTCCCAGTCTGTTTCACAACTACAATGGAAAGGTTTCCTTGCTAGGGCTGAATGAAGAGGTCCAAGCTCTTTCAGATATGAACAGTCTTGCAACTCCCCATCTGTGAAGTATTTAGAGCCTCACTAAGCTCCACATTCAGATCCCAGCCTATTTCACTTCCATGTTTTCACTTGTGATGAGTGCATCCTGACACCCTTCAGAATATCCATCCAAGTAACTGAAAGCCACATTGTATTATCATATGTTCTCCTTAGCCATTCTAAATCATGAAAAAATTTCCTTTTTCTCTGGAAATGTAAGTTTCAGTGCCTTATAGGCAAGAGCCTCTAGGCAAGAGGTGCTCACCCCCACTCCTATCACTGTCCTTCATTGTTCACAAAACCTGCATGTGTGCTGAGCTGACAACCAAGGCTAACAAGCAGTCAGCATATAAAAGAAGGGCTTACCTCCAGAAGTGATAAAAAAGCAAAGGAACATTTAACCCCAGTGTGAGCCACTCCTGAGCACATAAAAACATTATGCAGAAAAGGCTGTGGATGGAGTACTCCGGCAGCACCAGCTAAAAGGAAAGGAACAGAAAGAACAGAAGTCAGTAAAACAAACACCTCTTTGATTTTAGTCACCTAGGTAGTTTTCCAGAGAACAAATCAGCTCTGCAAGTCTTGCAAGTCTCCTGTGTGTCTGTCCCTAGACACACCTCAGCTGGCAGAGAGCATGGCTTTGAGCAAGGAGCACAGGACCCAGGGCCAGGTTTGTTAAGGCTCTACCCAAGTTTGTACTCCAAGACATGGGACAAATCACTTAATGTCTCATCTGGTGTTCCAGATCTATGTCTACAAAACATACATTATATTAATGCCTCCCTCACAAAAGCATTTTGAGACTAAATGAATGCCAGTAAAAGAGTTTTCAAAGAATGAAGTTTTATTACTGAAGCATTCAGAAAGGAAACAAAGCTAGTCCTGAAGTTTTGCTCCTACATTGGAGGAGTGTCTCTGGAAAAACAAAGTGCTGCTTCTACCATTTTGATATGTTATATACACCATAAAGAGATCAAATCCATTACCAAGTCAGTCTTGCAAGCACAAACCCACTAAGACAGGAAACTCACTTCCTAAGAAAATCCAAGGCTCCCTACATTTGTTGTTTCAGAACCATGACGATTCTTTCTATTAAAAGAGAAAATGAGTGGGCAGCTGGCAGAAGCAGAAATGTATGTGATGTTGATTCACAGTAGTTATTTCAAAAGGCACTTTGCTTTCTTCACTGCTTTCCCATTTCTTAGCTGTCTTTCTTCTTTTGTTTTCTTCCCATGTCTTTTCTCAGAAATCCCTGATTATTTTCTTCAAGTCACAGAAAAGACTAGTTTCCAGCAGTGCATATTTCTCAAAGCTAGACAAACTCACACACAACTCATCTGCATCCACTGCTTCATCTTGGAGATATATCAACCAAAATTAAATCACAAAAGGCATTTGGGTTTTTTTTTTGATGACAATTCATTATTATCTGTCAAATAATTAAAGCGAGCCCTATTTTTTTTAAAAACAAGGTAAAATTTACTACACAGTTTTTCCAAATAACTACTCCCATAGAGCTGTGCTGCAAGGAATTCCATCATCTTGGCTCTAGGAGTCTTTCCACCTCACATGGAACATACTGTTTAAATGCATTTCACTTCAGCACTTGAAGAACTTAACAGATTTGGGCATCTCCGTGACTGTGCCTTCAACTTAAACATTCTCAAGGGCTTATTTTTGTGGATGAGAAATCATAATACAATTATATACTTCAGATTCCAGATGGTACTTATTTATCACTGCTGGATCTTTTTTTTTTCTTCAGTTTGAGAATGTGATTTACAACATGACTATAACCTTTCCCCAAAGAATGATTCATCTTCATAACAAATTGTAGACAAGAAAGGTCTTCATGATGTACATCTGCCCACTGAACATCACAACACTCAAAAGCATATTACATTCATTTTCACATATTTGATTGCTGGTTCCAACACAATACACAAACTTAGCTAGACTGCAACCCTGGTGCCTGGTCAGTGGGCTGGCTGGTAATAACAGGGAAGGAAACCCACGGTGAATATTTATGCAGACAGAGCTTGAAAAACAAACCAAAAATCTGCAGTGAAATTAGAAAGGAAACAAAGGAAGCTGAGGACTCTCAGAGGTAGGCTCACTTTCCAGTCACAATTTCTGGTGTAAATTAAATCTGTCTATACTTGTGGTAGAACAGCAAAAGGACCACTGATGTCTCTTCAACCTTTTCTTGGAGTGGTATTTTCCTGTAGACATAAATAAGAAAGGATTGTTGCTAATCACTGTTTCTGGAGAGAATTTGTGCAAAGAAGCAAACAAAGCCCAGCCTGCAAAGCCAGTCACATTCAGCTGATGTACTTCAGAGACCAAATCTAAAAGGAGGTGAGAGACTTGGAAGCATAAAGTATAGAAAGGCACTAACTAACAGCAAGGCTTATGAGGTCAAGTAAATAACTAAAATAAAACACTGCCCTCAGTTCTTGGCTGTAAGAATCATCCTGCAATTTGACACTATATCCTCTGAAAACAACGAAAACTGGAAATCAACTTTAGCAAACATGGGATTCAGCTCCTGGAGAGAAGAAAGCTGGCTGAGAAACAAGCAGCAGTCAATCCTTGTAGTTCCTGCTGAGGTACTCAACTGAAAAGCAACTTCAGGGATACAGATAACTGCAACAGGAACTAAGCCAATGTCTTTAATTCATTCCTGTGAGAGCATAGGAAGCTGTCAGATGGTAAACATGTTAGGATATAAATAGTACACTTCTATTTTGAACCAGGAACATCCTGATTCAGATAACGACCTCTGCTTTCTGACACAGCTCAAGATAAAGCTTGTGATGGTTATGAAACATGGAGGAGAAGGAGAAACTGGCATAGCAGCACAACTCTCAAGGGAGGCAACTTGGTCACTTTGAGTCCCAAGCTCAAATGGCACCACAAATTTACCACCAGAAATTCACATGGCTGATACTTCACTGTGGAAAACCACAGGAAAACCTGAAAAGGAAGTCAGTTTCTAGACAAAAAAAATGCTGCTAATCAGAAATGCCACAACATAAGCAAGGGAAAATGAAACCACTCTAACTTTGTTAGTGTTGTTCTGATATAACTGCATAGTTAAGTAAATGTCCACATCAGTAAACCCTTATTCACAATTTATCACTCACATTTAAAATGTAAAACCTTAGGTGGGTATCATGCTCATTACCATTTCACCACAAGAAATTCACTCTCATACAAAGTAGTACACACACACTGCACGTGGAGATTGATCCTTCTCTAATTCCATAGAAAATAAAGCAGGCTTTGCTATGGACAGACACCTGAGGCTTATGGACAGACACCTCAGGCTTTGCTGAGACAGACACTTGAGGTTTTCCTGCTCTTTAGTTCAGGCTTGGCTGAACTAAAGAGCAGGAAAAGAAGCACTGAATTTAAGCACCTATCAGCAGCTTCTTTCTGTTTATAGGAATACAAAGAGCCCTTTAGAGAAGCTCAGTCCTAAATAACATTCTTCTGTTTCCCATTTCCTAAATCTGTTCTGTTGTTCTTATACAAAAGATAAACTTGTCTTTTTCTGTCTGTATCTTTCCTCCTTGTTCTGTTTATTACAGATGGATACCTCCTTCTCAAATGTAATTTTGATTTTACAGGACACTGTATCATTTTTACATGGACTGACTCTTACAGTTTTGTCTCACCACTGCACAGGGTCCATAAAATACCTCATAGAAAACAGAACTGGAAAGATATTATGGCAGGAATAATAATATCCCTTCATCAGTGCTATTAAATTCTCACAAATCTCAAACGGTTTTCCCACTCTTAAGCCACTGAAATGTCAAGATTCTTCTTTCCAGCACTTTGCTTAGACCAATGCTCCTGAGTGCTCCACACTAATAATAATAATTCTCACAGAATTGCTGTTCCTTCCCCAAAACACCCAAGAGTCTCCATCAGTCTCCATCTGTGCCTGTCAACCTCCACACTGCAACCACAGATTTTACACTGTACCCAGAAATTGCCAGCCATCACACACTCCACCCTACCAGAGCTTCTGAGAGTCTTCATTACACTGTTGGAGGCTGAAACAACTTCCCTTCTTAATGCCTGCCCTCTCCTCCTACAGATGGCAGGAAAACCCTGCAGAGAAGTGGGGGTTGAATCTCCTTCTGGTGATTACCCCAGTGCAAACATGTTGTTCACCTTAAAATCCAGCCCCTTTCCATCCACCTGAAAGCAACAGAAAACTTCAAGCATCGTGCATGTGTGGAATCACAGGGCCAGATGAGGTCTGATCTAAGTGCACTCTGCTTTATTGCAGTGGTTATTGCTACTGCATCTGCCTGCACTAGAGGATGGCTGCAGCTTGTCACTATGGGGCTCATTTGCTGCTTTTTCCACCACATCCCTCAAAAAAGCTGACAGAATCAGTCCTCATCAATAGCAGGGGAAAGAGGGGGTGGAGGTGTACCCAAGGTTTTCAGGACACGGGAGTTATTTCAATAGCACTTTAAAGCGCATCCCTACAGAGCCTGCCAGAGCTAACCTGGGTTACTGGGGAGAGTGTCAGCTGAGTTAAAGACACTGTGAGATCAAAGGGAGGTTATTTAATGACTCCAAAATTCCCCCAACTGAACAGCACAGACTGGCAAAATCAGAAGTGTAGTGCAAGAAAGGGAAAAAAAGAAAGCAAAAGCATACAGAAAAATAGTAGCAGCATGTGCCTTAGCCCAGACTGTGTGTGTATGTGGAATGTACATACTCTGAAACAAATCATCTGTTTCCTCCTGCTGCTGCACAAACCAAAGAAGAAGGGTCAACTATGTGTAATTTAAATACACAGACCATACATCTTAATAATTCCAACAGTTTTAAACATACTGTCTGCTCTGATCAAACAGACGAAACACTAAATTTTACTCTTGAAATATAAGAAGTCTTCCCACTTTTCTAATCTACTTTAAATGATTTGGGTTACTTGACTTCCAAAACCTCTTCTGAAAGGCTGCCCTAGAGCCCAGTACAATGCTGTCACAGTAAATATACTAAGGTTTTCTGTCCAAATATTCAGGTCCAATTTATTTCAATTCTCCTGTTAAAATCCACACTTGCTTGTGTCTCTACAGACTGTTTGCTAGTTGCTAATTCAGTAGCATCAAATTGTTAGAACACAAACATGTAACAAAACCATTTTAAGTAATTCAAAACCATGTTTTACAAACCTCTAGAAGTATTTAGCAGTTTGGTAGGTAGATTTGTGCATGTAGTTCAGAAGAAAATGCTTGGGAAATGGATTCCAGATAATCAAAAGGACAATGTGCAGCTGAACCTACTAAATTAATATATGCAGCTTTACATTTTATCTGGGGGAGAGGAGCAGCACACACATGCAAGACTTAATGGTACTAACAAAATGCAGAGCACAAATTAAAAAAAAAAAATAGGATAACACATCTGTGTTTTCACCCCTTCACTCACTGCTCGGGATCACAATGAA